AAACAATTCACATCATCTATGCCCATGGTTACTAATTTACTATGCATTGGACTGAGAAGTTAGCAAAAGCTATATTTACACATGATGATGAATTTGACATAGAAATTCTTAATAAATTCATCAAGAATTGCGTGAGAATAAATCACAATGGGAAGTCCAACTATTATGCAAAAGAATGTGTTGACTGAGTTCATGACGAGTCGACCTATTGGTTTGTGTGGTGGAAGGTTGGATTTTGGATGCTTTTGGGATATTTTTGTGAAACTTACTGATTACATAAATGCCAACTAAATAGGTATGAGGTAAAAATTACAAATCAGTATCAAATTAGCCAACTAAAACCAGACAAGACTCTATACATGCCACTTTACATGTTATCCTAAACAAATCATAGTTCTTTGACTTACTTATCTAGTGTAGAGTGTGCATTCATAAAACCTAGGTCTTGCATATGATCACAGATGAGTATAATATAACAACAAACACAATGATCAAACCATGAATCGTAAGTATATCCTAAAGCAATCGTGGTAGCATATACTACAATCAAGAATATATATGAATAGCAGAAGAAACAAATACAAGAATTTCAGCCTATCTTTAAAGCATGAGTTGGTTTCGATTCGCAAATTCTTTTTCTATACCTTCACATAAAGAAACTCTACAAAATTCTATGTGATTATTAATACCTTGCCAATACCGGTCGAAGAACCAAATTGAGAAATCAACAGCTTACAAAATTTGGTCATCTGTAATACTGAGAGGGCGTCATTATATCTGGACAAAATCATTCAAAAAACTGCCAGTTAGAAATTTACCTACATATATATCTAAAATAAGTTAATGTAAATCATCAACATGCCTTTTGCAGCAAATAAAGGTCTTAAAGATCATAAATTTCATTTGTATTTTGAAGTCTTTCTAGCATGGAATTAATAATTAGAGCAAGAGCAGTTAGCACAGCCTTCCAACCTTATAACCGTTTACTCCTTTGAGGTGTTTTTTGCGTATATACCTTCCATACTACATCTACAAATTAACCTTCCAAATGTAGTGGGATTGTTACAATAATACTTACAGCTATAGTACACATAATGTTGTAACTTAATTGTTGGGTCGTGGATTTATATTTGAAAACTACCTGAAACCTCTAAGACTGACTTGTTTGTGCCACAAAAAAAGAACAAAAGGTAAAAAAAGATAAATAAATAAATAAAGAGAGAAAGAGAAAACTGCATAAAAATTTTAAAATGAGTGGGTTTGTGAAGTATTGCTGGCTATATCTTAATATATAATATGTTATCTTAAAAATGATGAATTTTAAAAGCTTGAAAAGTTTGAGCTCTATAAAAAAAATAGACCCACCCCTATTATTCACAAAGCAGAAGACATCTTATTGCCACATTTACTCGTACCAAGTTAAAAATGATAAAATAGGGTAGCATGCACAAATGATCAATAATAAAGTGGGGGAGGCACGTACGACAATATAAAGGAAAGCTCAATTTGCTTGCATCAAATATTGCACATTATGCTGCGGTGATGGATACGATTAATTCCGTCATGATGAGGGTCGTACTCTTTGTAATCATCTCCAACTGCAGGGGTTTGTTAGTTGTTATCTCTCTGAAAACAGGGCTAAAATAGAAATGCTTAGTTCTTCAAGAGACAAGGCTTTGGCTTGCCTTAACTCGCTCCACGTAGCGCACCTGCTTCATCATAAAGTATTAAACATCCCTCAATTCCATGACAG